TTTTTTTGCCAAAATTAATCAGCATTTCTTTGGTTTTTGACACATTCAGGTCTAGTTCTATTTTATTGCACCATGTGATAAAATCATGCAAGACTGGACCATGTTCCTGGTCTGAGTGAAGGCTGATTTATACTTCTGCGTCATGTATGCGTACAGCGCAGCCTACGCGTGTACGCATAGCCCTCGCCGTCTGAGTCCCTGACACTCATCTCTCAAAAAAATGTAACTACACGTTGCAGCAATGCATAGCGCGAGCTCTGTGATAGGTCTGCTTTTTAGCGCTGATGAATGTGTGCGGGACCGAGATGAGCCCGATGGAGCGATTATTTTCATGTGTGGAGTCCTGTAAAGGAGCTCAGAATGGTATGTTTTGTTTTGTGTTTACCTCATGGTTAAAATAGTTGCACGTCAGCTGATTACAGCCTCAAAATGAGCGAGTTTGAACCATTTGTACATTAGAAAAGCGTTCAGAAAAAACAAAACACCAGCGAAGAAACTCGACACCGAGGAACATAAACACCTCACTGCCAACTAGCGTTTCGGAAGTGTTATTACAGAGCAACAGAAACAGCGCACAGAAGTATGAATGCAGAGTTATGCGCGTTGCGTGCGCCCTGGGTCACACCGATCACTTCACGCAGAAGTATAAACCAGGCTTGAGAAAGCAAGGATAAAAGCACAGTATCATCTGCATATTTAACCAGATAACGATTGTCTGGTGTACTCTGATAATCATTTGTATAAAAAAATAGCATTCTATTCTTGTTTTTCACTGAACAAACTGCATAGTTTTTGTTTTCCTTCGAGATTTTTATACAATTATTCAATTGGTTGGACTTTGATTGTATGGGGGGAAAACCTTTGTGGAAATTTTGGGACCATTCTTGTGTGTTCCACAGAAAAAGCCCATCTGTTTTATAAGAATGCATTAATCACTCGTCTAATATTTGTTCTGCATCGATATTTCAGGAGACAATACCCCCTGGCAGGAGGATTTATTTTCTGACGAGAGGATTGTGAGAGACACAAAGGAACACAAACTAAAAACAAGCATCAACACTTGTGGTCTGACTAATCGCTCGGGAGTGAGCCTGGCTTTAGCAATCTGACGTGACTCTTGAGACTTGGCTTTTCTCTGCTCTCCACATCTGCGTGAACGGCGGGTTTGCTCTGCTTGCCTTTCCTCTTTGCTTCAAACCTCAGAGTGAAACTGAATATAACTTCGAAAAAGACGGAGAGAAAAGTTACACACGGAACGTTTCGTGGGGATGGTGTTTGGAAATGTGGCGATCTGTCATTTATGCCGGGCTTAGTTTGAGCAGCCTGCTGGGGTTGCATTGGTTTGAATGAACTACTTGATCCGTGATGAGTTGTACATGCGTAAATATTGCACAGGATTACATACGAGGCATGATGTTTTCTATATATCGAATGATATGAAACTGTTCTTGGGGATAGTTTTTTTTTGTCGTTGCTTTAGGAACATTTCAAAGGCAGAGTAAAATTTTCCAGATTTAGTAGATTTGTAGTGATTTTATCCATCAAGTCGAAAGTCTCTATCAATACCACATCAAGCTCTTTTTAATCTCTTGATCAAATTGAACTGTATATCATTGACAGATCGGAGTGAAACTTCTACTAGTTAGCTTAATGGATGTGTTCTTGGTTGCAGTGAAGTGTGTGTGTTCAAGTGTGTACTCAAATGCAGATGATGATGACCTGACAGCATTTACTACTCTTGGAGGGCAGGTTGGGATTTTTTTGTTGTGTGTCGGATGTAAGAAAACACTTTACGCTCTACACCAGGCCTTCTCTGCACTGAATGAGACCATCTGTGGTGCTGAGATGTGTGTCAGATGCAGTAATGCCATATGGCACATGCTTCGCCTGAGGATAGAGATTAAGAACAGCTGATGGGTAATTATGACGATGTCATCATCATCGTCCCCCCTAGGAATGAACAATGGAATAAGTGCATCGGAAAGGATTTTTTTTCGACCGCCTTCCACAGAGATGCTTGTTCAATATTTTGAGGTTTTTTTTTGATGGTGGGTGTGTGTTACTACGTTCATCATTCTATCGTGTCTTGTAACGATCAGTTGGTCTGTTACCTTTTTTGCCTTAGCTCAAGGATTCATATTTTGTGAGCAGTATTGCAATGTATTTTCATTACAGGTCAGTCAAACGGTTCTTTCCCATTGAAAAAAAAAAAACCGTGAGAAATGCCAAGAGGTGAGGGTCATTTTACAGTAACGTTTTTGTTTAGTGTTGGTGTAGTGCTTTGTGGAGTGGACGGGGGAGGTATTGTCAGAGTATTTTTGACAATCTTTTAAGCTCTGTAAGTTAGCTTTTGCCCTTTAACTTATGTGGTGCCAAACCTCAATATTCATATTTACTATACTAACCTGGGGCTTAGCTAACTCCAAAGGTGTTTTAATATTATTATTATTATTATATATATACATACACAGTATAAATACCATAGAAAGTTCTGTAATTATTCAGTGCTAAGGGTCTTAACCCACTTCATCCTGTGTGTTAACTAGTTGTCGGACAAATTGGAATGATTTGGGAATGTTCTTTTGGTCAGTAAGATTGGAAAATATTCACATCCCCAAACAGACAATCTGCCTTCATTCTGCTAAAGAACAATTGAGTATTTATTTATTAAAGTGTAAATATGTATAACATTTCAAAATGGCTTTGTCCTTTTGTTTGTCCATGATGCTGTTTCTATGCCGAAATCTTTTGTATTGTCCGATAAATTGTTTTTATATGTATTTTTTACAATAAATATGCTTAAGTGTGATGGTGGTTGTCTTTTTTTTTTTTTTTAAAGGGGCACCTATGATGAAAATCGTCTTTAGGAAGCTGTTTGGACAGAACTGTGTATGTATAGTGTCCACAGTCATATTGGGGTGACAAGGACAATAAGTCTTTTTTTTTTTCTTCCTGACTTTAAAATAGGATCCAAATCCCTCCCGTTTTGAGGCCCACTGCAACATGCTGTAGGAGTGTGGTTTCAACCACACACTAAATTGATTGACAGACGCGTATTAACATGTCTCCGTAACGTATAACGTGTATAATCACATCAACAAAACAGGATGTGCGCAAAAAAAGTGAGATTAAAAGATCTGTTCCGCTCTCTGTGATCATCTGCACCTCAGGAATGAGTTTTACAAATTTAAAACGGTGCTTGTTTGTAATGAATTACAGCTATTTACCGTCTTTATCACCACAGCCTCATGTCAGTACAACAATAAAAGAAAACAATTCAACCCCACTTTGTGAACGTTAAATCAGGTTTATACATTTAACATAACGGATGTCCATACAGCAGTGGATATTAACATGTATCCTGTCACATTTGCTGTGCAAAACTCTGTGTGCAAGCGTGCTTGTGTGTGTCTGTGTATTACTTTTGTAATGACATTGTGTTGTGACTCATCTTTGCAGAAAGGCTTGAATTAACTCCACATCAAATAATCATAGTTCTTACTGTAGTATTTCTCACAAACGTTATATGTAAGATCTGCTTCCTTCATGTCTGTCACTGTGCTGTTTATCTGATGCAGCCGAGTTGGAGATTGAGGCACACTCTAACAGGCACATGGGAACAGTGAATGTAAAGAACTAGCATTAAAGGCACAGGCTACAAAAACAGCTACATTACAATATGTTCAGAGCAGAAAATAGTAATGTTCTGAAAGGTCTTATAAATAATTTGATGGCTGTTTTGAGCTGAAACTTTACAGACATTCTGGGCACGCAATATTTTAAAACACAAGACTTATTTTAAATGTTGATAAAGGGTTAAAATAGGTGCCCTTTTGTAAATTACTATTAAATAAACTGGCCGTTAAGTAGCCCTAGGTTGACCTTAAATATGTTGTGAAAGTAACAGTGATTGAAGTGCCGTCTTTGTACAGTATAAAATGTGGTAATCTCAAAACAGCCTTTTTAAAGCAATCTCACTGTTTATTTCTTCTGTTGAACATACGAAGACATTCTGACAAATCATTTTCATTTTTGCCGAACTTTCCCAACAATGAACTCCTTTTCACAAAATAGTAAACATTTTGATTTCTGTTAAAAAGGAAGTGCTTGTGCATGAGTTCAGGGTTTTGCCATGAAGTGTCAAAATCTTGTATAACCTATATTTCAACAGCTCTTCTTCCGCTTGCATTTTGTGGTTGCATTGATGAAACTCTGCTCAGACCCACACAAACATGGGTAAAGTCACCTTACTTTCACAATGATCCTAAAGTTGTTTGCAAGGCACTGCTGTCAAATCAAATGCTGCAATATTTCTGCAGACATGCATTGGTGTATTTTCGTAAATGGACCATTAAATGAGAAAACTCAAATATATAGTGTTTTAAAATTAGTTTGAAGTTGATAAATAGGCAAATCTGAAATCCTTCAACATGCAGCAGACAGAATTGTTTGGAATTTGCAGTTTTTTTTTTTCTCAACTTTTGTCAAACTAGAATAATAAAGTAGCTACAAATGTGATCATAGAGATTTAATGGTGTTAAACATAATTTTTATTGTTATTTATATGTTATTATGCATAAAAATGTGCTAATTCAAACTAACATTCCTAAAAAACAACAACAACAAGAATAAAGCTGAAAAAGACTGCACTAAACATTATCATTTAACACTGCAGTGATTCAGAACGGGGCACGGTGGCGTAGTGGGTAGCACGACTGCCTTACAGCAAGGTCGCTGGTTCAAGCCTCGGCTAGGTCAGTTGGAGTTGTGGAGTTTGCATGTTCTTCCTGTGTTCGCGTGGGTTTTCTCTGGGGTCTTTAGACTTGTTTCCCCCACAAGTCCAAAGACATGTGCTATAGGTGAATTAAATAAGCTAAATTGGCTGTAGTGTATGTGTGTAATGGCAAGAGTGTATGGGTGTTTCCCAGTGTTGGGTTGTGGCTGGAAGGGCATCCGCTGCGTAAAACATGCTGGATAAGTTGGCGGAGTGAATGAATAATTTAGATCGATGACCCTGAGAAAGGAAGATGGCAGAGTTTGGCCACAGCAGATTTTCCACAAAGGGTTTTTTTGTAAATGATGTAACCAAAGGATGTGAAACCATTTTCAGTCTATGTGAAGCAAAGGTGAGTGGAGAAACTAAAGCTAGCAGAGCTCTGAGTGCTCGCACCTCAAACAAGACCAACACTGAGCAGAAGGTAAGACTGATTTCAAAGTTTTGTCTAATATATTATTAATGTTATAATTATTTACATGTCTATTAGATTGCTTAAAGATGAGACCCCACTCAATGTTTGTACCACACAATTCCCCTTACTGGACTGTCCTGCTTTTGTTAATTGCCGAAGGCTTTTTTATGAAATGAACTCTCATAAGGACATTTTTAACACAGTGACATCAGGAACAATTTTAGAATTTTTATCATGTATTAACACTAAAAATCTTATTTAATTTTTGTATTGACTTGTTTTTGTTTTTAATTGTATATTTATTATTGAAATGTTCTTGCAATGAAAAAACCTTGGTTGCTGACATGGCATTAAATAAAAATACATTACAATGTCTATTAGATACAAATCATGCAAACGCTGGTTCTGCAGATAAACCTGATCTAATTATGATCAAGCAGTGAACTGGTAATTAAAATATCAGAGAGTATGGAAGGAAACCATTATTTGGAGTCATTCATGCATTAATATTTGCATTAATTTATGATGGATGTGGCTCATTATACAGAAATATGCATGTTTCTGTTCCTAGACTTAACTCATTAAAATCTTTAGATTAACAATGAAATGAAACAATGTTATTTGAAGAGTTATGCACCCTTTTGGCAATAATTGTGTTGTAATTACTGTTTTAACACCACAAAACTGCTCATCCTCACAGCCATGTACGGAAGGAAGGTCAAAAACTGATTTTTCCACCATTTAAAATACTAAAATATTAAAATTAAATAAAATTATAAAATAAATAAAAATAAAAATGTTTTTATAACAATTAAATCCATGATGGAAATGGCATTTACCAAATAAATATGATAAAACGTATAATGATAGTCGTCTCCTAGCTGGAGTTTTCTCTGGTGTTAGTCTAACAAAAATGTATTTTTTTGGAATAAAATTCACTCTTTTGACAGAACTCGACTTTCGTCTTTTCATTACCTAAAGATCTTTGAAGAAAAACCCATTATAACTCCCATATCATTTTTCAATTATAAGAGATTCGCCATATTTATCTCAGGATTTCATGTGAAGTGTGTAGTTATAGTGTCACTGGTGTGACCTCTTCTTGAAAAGAAAAATTATTTTGCTGCTTGTTCAAACTACTTATTTAAAATAAGCTGAAACAGCACAATTCTTGAGATTTTTGGGGGACAGCTCAATGGTTACATGTTCAATCTACTTAAATTTAAGATAACTTTAAAGTAACTTTTGATTTGTGTTGGGATAGCTTAATGAATTGTGTGGAACTTTGCAATTTTTTTACAGTCTACTTTATTGTTGAGGAATTGTAAAAAACAAAAACATTAATATGAATACATTAATCTGCTTAATTTAGTGAGTATATCATGATTGTCAAAGTGGTTAGATACCTTACAGCAGACATTTTCTTAAACACATTTTTTTATTGTCACTGGTGTTACTTTTCTCCTGGATAACACCACACAAGACCATTGTGTTTCTCGGTGGTGATTCATTTGTGTCACTGTGTTTTTCTTTAACTGAAAATAACTGATAAACATGACCACTTTCCACAATTAGAACAAAAGCCCGATTTTAACATTAAAACTGGCACTAAATGGCTCAAATGTCCCATTAATCAACTTGCAGTATAGTTAATCACTTGATTATTTAAATTTAAATGAAATGCAATGTAGTCTAAAGCTCCTTTTGTTAGTATGACTGTAATACAGCTTAAACTTAGTAAGTTAGATTTTTTTGTTGTAACATAATTATAATAATTTATATAACACATGCTCACTAAAATGCCAATCGCTATAGTTTATATATCGCAAAATATTTTAGACTTGGAGGGCCGGTGTCCTAGCTTTAACTTCCTGGAAGTTTTAGTATACCTAGAAAAAGCTTGATTAGCTGGTTCAGGTGTGTTTAATTGGGGTTGGAACTAAAATATGCTGGACACCGGCCCTCCAGGACCGAGTTTGGGCACCCCTGATTTAGACAAATGGTGATAATAAAAGTCAAAAATTTAATCCAAGACCCAGTATGCTTATTATTTGTCATTTTAAACCTTCATATTTTTCCACTATCTTTCAAACAACAAGTTGCTACCAGTTTGTCAGCAAGTATTTTTTTGTGTTATGAAATTTAAATGTATAAAAAGACTTAAAATGACTTTAAGTATCATTTAACATGGTAGTTAACCAAAAATTAAAATGTACTCACAATTCACTCACTTTCTTTCCTCTGCTGAACACAAAGGGAGATACTTTGAAGAAAGCTGAAAGCCTGTAATTACTGACTTCCATAGTGTTTGTTTTTCCTACTTCAGGAGTCAATGGTTAAAGGTTGCAGAATCTCATAAAAGTTTGGAACAAGTGAAGCAAGGATTAACTTTGACAGACTTTTTAGTTTCAGGTGCCCTATTAATTTAACATTTCTTTTTTAATTTCTTTTTTTATAACAGTTTTTATGAGTACAAAACAGAACAAAAACATTTATACAATCTATTATACGTTTTTTTTTATATAAATGATAAGAAAAAATACAGAAAAAAATAAAATAAGTGAATTAATAAAAAAGTAATAATAATAATAAAATAAATAAATAAATAAATAAAATAAAAATAAACAAGCACCAGTCCATCCAAACATGCACTATATAGAGCAGGTGTGACCAACCCTGTTCCTGGAGATCGACCTCCCTGCAGATTTCAGTTGCAACCCATATCAAATACACCTGTTTGTAATTATCAAGTGCTGTTCAGGTTCTAATTAATTGGTTCAGGTGTGTTTGATCAGGGTTGGAGATGAACTTTGCAGGAAGGTCGATCTCCAGGAACAGGGTTGAGCACCACTGATATAGAGCAAGGGTGCTCAAACCTGTTTCTGGAGATCTACCTTCCTGCAGAGTTCACCTGCAACCTTGATCAAACACACCTGTCTTTAATTACCAAGTGTTCCTTCAGATCCTATTTAGTTGGTTTAAGCTACGGTCACACTAGAGTTGGTGTGTGCGAAATTCTGTCGTGCGGCGCTGCGAAAAGGGGCGGGAATAAACAAGATGATTAGACATTAAAAAAGTGAGCGATTGCTCAATGTTTTAAATTTCTGTCCAGAGAGGTCATGTTTTGATCCTTGATTGGTCTCACGCAGTTTAGTGATGCAATTTCGCAGGTCAGAGTTCACCAAGCTTGAACTTTGCACCACAGCAACCTGTGCAACTTAACGCATGATGCTGCGTTTCTGGTCTGACGCATTCGCGTGCGTATGAATGGAAATCTGTGAGGAAAAGCCCAGTGTGACCGCAGCTTTAGTTGTGTTTGATCAGGGTTGGAGCTAAACTCTGCAGGAAAGTAGATATCCAGGAACAGGGTTGAGCACCCCTGATATAGAGTAAATAATATACACTGTTATGTTTTACTTGATCAAAACTCAAAACATTGAAAAGAAAGATTAAAACTGTTTAGAGAGTAAAGAGAAAGAGTAAAAAACTTTTAGAAGTGTCAGCCCTGGCAAAACGAATTCTTTCAAGCTTAAGAGCAGCAACCATTTCAGTTAGGCATTTATGGATAGTAGGTGGTAAAGTGGACTTCCAATCAATCAGGATCACCCTTTCAGCCACCACCACACCAAACATAATAGACATTTGCTGATTATGTGAGCATGTTAATACAGGGTCAGAGCATCCAAACAGGGCTAATTCAATATCTGGACTAATGTTTTCTCCTAAAACATTTGAATAAAACTGAAAAATATTTTTCCAAAACTGCACCAAAAGCATACGTTTCCTCTGAACTCCTGCATCTGAAGGGAACATTTTATTGAGTTCACTTTCACATTTCATTGTATTTTACGAATAAGCCTTATATTAGGTTATTAAACATATTTTAATCTTAAACTGTTGGCAAACCAGCAAAGCAACAACAAACCACACAAAAGCGAACAAACACTGCACATACAACCATTTCCTGTACACTGACAGCTTCTTTCATTTTCCCACGATTGCACAAAACTCAAGTACCTTCTGTCCCAAATGTGGAAAACTCCTGTTTTGAAATTCTGACATTGCATTCTCACTGAAGCAGATCTCAGGATGGCAGATGTAGAGAACCAAAAAGCTGTGACTGAAAGTGGCCCGATGTATCCCCCACCTCCACATATGCCCCCTTCGTATCCCATCGGCCCCGTTTACCCACAGCCTGTTCCTCCACCAGTCGGCTTTATTGCACCCGTTCTGCCACCAGAAGAAGCCGCAGTCAACAAAACAGAAGAGACGAGCCCAGAAACTGGTGAGTTCAGATTACTCAAACCATTTTTTAAATTAGCAGAACATAATTTCTTTTATTGATTTGTAAAATGGCACACAGACATAACTCAGTGACACACCCTTCACACAGCTCTTCTTAATGTAACTATCAAACAAACTATTTTAACACACTTGGATGATTATAGTTATTCTTCATCTTAGTTCACCCAAAAACATCTAATTTTGTCATCATGTACTCATCATCCACTTGATCCAAACCAGTTGGAGTTTATTTCCTCTGCTGAACATGAAAAAATAATATATTTTAAAGATTGTTGGCAAATCAAATTTTATGGTACTGTATTTTGTTCCTTTTATAGTTGTAAATATTTGTTTTCAGCATTTTTAGAATATTGTGTTTTGTGTTCAACAGAAGACATGACTTAATGTGAGGAAAATTTTCATTTGTGGGTGAACTTTAAATTCATTTTTTACATGATCTACCTAAGTCCCTTTAAGGCAAGTCATTTCACTTGGCGGCCATCTTTGAAACACCTCTCGGGCAGTGTGCTCGGGCATTCTGTCTGAATGGGGAAAACTCTCTAAAACTGCTTGCCAAGCTTATGACTGAGTTTTATATTAGGAGTCACCAACAAAATTAAACAACAACTGTGTCTTTAGTTGTATTCTTAAATATCTAAATCACGCAAAATCTGCAGAAACTCAAGTCTGGTCCGAGCCGCTTCCCCAGAGAATCGTCAGTCTGTAGCGTTCGATGATTGGCTCCTGTACTAGAAGGCGAGCTTTATTCGCCATATAAGGATAGATGATTGGCTCATGTAGTAGATGGACATTATTCACCATAATGACTGTTACACTTTTTCCCAATCAAAAAGATACGAGTGACACGAGATACGAGTGTGTGTTCTGTAGTCTCTTTCTCTACTCTTCACTACAACGGTAACCCCACAATTTTAACATAGCAGAAATGTTTATATCCCAAAATGTCCAAAATTACAGAATAATTTATGTCTTCCTACATTAATTCTTACGTACTCCCATTTACATTGAAGTTAATATTTAGCCGCACCATATCGGCGTTTCATAACATCTAGTTTTTATGAGGCATGTCGTTAGCCTAATGCTCAACCCTCAACCTGGAGGACCAGGACATACACACTTGCACTATGGATAATTTAGCTTACCCAATTCACCTACGCATGTCTTTGGACTGTGGGGGAAACCGGAGCACCCAGAGGAAACCCACATGAACACAGGGAGAACATGCAAACTCTACACAGAAATGCCAACTGACCCAGGGGCTCAAACCAGCTACCTTCTTGCTGTGAGGCGACAGCGCTATCCACTGCACCACCGTGCTGCCCTCCTAAATTAATATTGTGCAAAAAAAAATTATAATTTCCTCATACAATATGACAGAAAGCATGCTGGGAACTAGTCAAATTGAAACTTAAAGGGATAATTTACCCCAAAATTACGTTTTCTCACCATTTATTCAAACTCAAGTGGCTGTAAACCTTTATGAATTTTGTTCTTCTTCTGACCATAAAAAAATATATTTTGAGGGATGTTGAAAAAATAGTAGGAACAAACAATGCTATGGAAGGCTGTTGTCCGACATACTACAAAATATCTCTTAGAACAAGTGGAGGCTGAGTAAATGATGACAGAATTTCCTCTTTCAATGTCAACAATCCCATTAATACGATACAATTTTGAGTTCATGTAACTTGCTTCTGTAAAGGTGCAGTATGTAAGTTTGACACCCAGTGGTTGAATTGGGTATTACATTCCTGGATCAAAACAAATGCAAGTGCAGGTTGCCAGAGCGAGTCTAACAATCGAGCCTAAAGGCTGATTTAAGTCATGTTTTAAATAAAAGCAATGGCACACGATAGAAGGAATATTCTCCATATTAAAATGAGTTTTTGTTCTAACACCTCGAATTGATATATTAAAAACGACTTCTATTTCTGGCTCAATTTCAATTTTTGCCTCAGGTACACCTCTTGTGCTTTATTCAGTGTTAAAAAGTCTCTCAGTCCAACATGTTTGTATTTTAATACTTTTTTATTAGTGTTTATATTTCTAAGCCAAATCCTTGCAGCTCTGGCTCCCCATTGTTCAAGATAATATTCAAAGGCTCTCCTTCTTAAGTTGATGTACTGTAAATCTCTGGTTCCTCTAAACTAAGCTAAACACATTATGTCAGTTTAATGAGGTAGATGTTTATTTTTTAGTATTTATTTTTGCAGCTACAATCTATAGGTCTAATTTCATTAATTGTAAGATTTTTAGGGGCTTCCTGTATATTTGTGTACTCTCAAATGTACGGTTTACCTTAGTAATGCTACTTTGTACCAACTTATAATTTGTAACACCCTAATCCTAATTTAAACGCTATTCGATGTCATTGGAGTGCACATTCTGTGCCTCTTAATGGCTGTATTAAAATTTCTGTCGTGTTTCGTCTAGTGCAAACAGCCAAATTACTTATCACTGCAAATCTTGTCACATAGTGTGTTGTTAGAACATGGGGTTACAATATAACCTGCTTACCTAATGTTAACCTTTGTAATACTTATATTATTTGCTAATTATAAAACCTCATGTGGAACTCTGAATCTGCGTCTTATTTCAGAGCCTGCTTCTGACAACCTGAGGTCACATTTTGGTCACAGACGCATGCTTTGAGAGCCTTTCTGAAATAATAAATGAAATATGCAGTTTTCCATCAAGGCAACCCGGGTTGCTGAAATATAATTAGCTAAAGTGTACTGGGCGGGATAAAAGAACCACAACAAAGACAGACGTTCCGGCACGTGAATCACATTTTCAAAGCAGAATAAGTGACTCCAGCATTGTTTTTCAAATAAACAATAATGTTCACTTAGCATGTTTCTAAAATATCTGCAAACATATTATGGTAATTAATTGCTTAAGAATAGTCAAAAACCTACAGCACCTTTAAGTACAATGAACTTTTTAAATATTTGAGTGACATTTAACTTATTAAAGTTTCACTGTTCAGATTTACACTGAGTGCAAAATCCATACAACTTTACCGTGTTAATAAAGACAAAAACTCAAACTAATCAAATTTAAAATATAACAGAAGAAAACGCATCAACACAATTTTTTTTTTCTTCACACAGCTGTACTTCCACCTGAGGAGCATCAGGTGTTTGTCTCCGCATTTGACGATAATAAAGTCCAGAAAGCGTTTATCAGAAAGGTAAGTGTTTCTCTCATGTAATCTATAAATATTCTGAGTGCTCTGAATTGTGGGTTTCATCCTCACTTGCGATCTCTTTCTGCCTGTGGTCAGGTGTTTAGTGTGGTAACTATTCAGCTACTGGTCACGTTTACTGTAGTCTGCGTCTTCACCTTCTCAAAGACAGTCAAGGAAGCGGTCCAGAAGAACATCTGGATTTACATCAGTTCGTATATTGTGTTTATGGTGGTGGCCCTGTGTCTCTCGGTGTCCTCCACGTTCAGTCGCAAACATCCCTGGAATCTGGTGGGACTGGTGAGTGTTTGGGTTAACATAAGAATATGAATGTTTATGTCATGGTATAATAGGATTGATACTGATAAAATATATATATATTTTTTATTGTGTTTTTGACAAAAGGTACAGTACATTAAAGGTATTCAATTACAAAGGTATTTTCGTTTTTTCTTTTTTTTTTTGAACCATACATAAATTTAAAAAAAAAAAAAAGACAAATTAACATAATAAAAAAAAATTTATGAAAAGGAAATGCATTAAACAAAAAATATATTAATAATAATAAAAATGAAAATAAAATAAATTTACAGAAAAAATAAATAAATAAAAAATAAATAAATAAGTAAATTAAATAAAAAATAAGTAAAAAAAAAAAAAAGTGGGTGGGGGTGGGGGTGGGGTTGGGAATTTATGGTTGGAGGAGTACATTAGTCTCAATATGAATTATTAGAGGGTCCCATGTTTTGAAAAATTTTTTGGTTGATCCTCTGAGAAAATATTTAATTTTTTCTGTTTTCAAAAATAGCATTACATCACTAAGCCAAAGTGACAGTTTAGGTGGCATTGGTGATTTCCACTCCATAAGAATTCTTCTTCTAGCTATTAATGTTACAAAGGCAAAGGCGTTTTCTATTTCTTTAGCTAAATGGATGTCCTCATTTGTTACTCCAAAAATAGCCATTTCCGGATTTGGTTGAATTCTTAAATTGAAGGCTGAGTTTAAAATTTCAAATATTGAAGACCAAAATCATCTCAGTTTGTCACATGACCAGAACATATGGGTTAGGTCTGCCTTGCATGAGTTGCAACGATCGCATGTTTTATCTATATTGGGGTAGATTTTAGCCGGTTTGGATTTGCTGTAGTGAATACGGTAAAGAATTTTCATCTGAATCAGATTAAGACGCGCACATGATGAAGTCTTGTTTATAATTTTAACTGCTTTATCCTAAGTTTTTTCAGAAATATTAATTCCTAGTTCTTCTATCCATTCCATTTTAATCTTCTCTAATGTTGTGTTACGGAATGTCATAATAAGGTTATACATTTTGGAAATGAGACCTTTGGGGTGTACAGGGGTCTTTAAAATTAGATCCAGTCCAGATTCAGCAGGCATTTGAGGGAATACAGAGCACTGAGTCTGAACAAAGTGGCGAACCTGGAGGTATCGAAAAAAGTCTGATTTTTGAAGATTAAATTTTTTACTCATGTCATTGAAATTGGCAAAAATATTATCAATGAAAAAATCTCTACATGTAAGTATGCCTGATAAAATAAATTTTGATAAAAATGTGACCCTGCCTGGACCACAACACCAGTTTTTGGCAATATTTTGGCAATATCTAAAAATACATTGTATGGGACACAATGATAGATCTCCTTTTACGCCAAAAATCATTTGAGTATCATGTTTTATAAAGATATGTTGTAAATATCAATTCAAACATTTAATTATTCATTCAAGCGATGTTGATTTTCGGTCATTCTATGGGTCGTTCCTCTCCACACAGTTCTATAAATCACAGTTTCTTTGAGTTTGTGCATGCTCATGTTGATATCAGATTTGACAGTACCAAACCAATGAGTTATTGGTCGGCCTTTCTTCCTCCTTCCACTAACCGTTCCCAGCACGACTGCATTTTTCAGTGAATTGCTTCCTATGACATGGCCAAAATAGGATCATTTCTGCTTGGCAATCTTGGCTTCCAATGTGTTTTTTGGCTTGATGCACCCTAGGACTTCTTTGCTGGTGATTCACACTCATTTCAGCACCACAACTCGAAGGCATAGATTGTTCTTATGTCTGTCTTCTTGAATGTCCAGGTCTCACAGCCATAGGTTGCTATGGGAAAGACAGTCGCATTGACTGACCTTGCTTTAATTGCAGCGCCGATATCCTTATATTTCGAGATGGCATTTATGCTCACCGCTGCATTCCAACCAACGGTTAACAGTCTCTTGATTTCAAGTGTCGTGTCCCCATTCTGGTCAATCTTAGAACCAAGGAATTTAAAGTTTGGTTCTGTCTCAATTACTTCATTGTGGATCTTTATGCTGCATCTTCCATTCTCGGAGGTCGTCATCACCTTCATTTTCTTGACGTTCAGGCTTAACCGCACCTTCTCACTAGTCAATTTTCACTCCGCTTTTATTGTAAATATACACCTACTTGCTGATAAAATATATTATAATATAAATATAATATAATATAATATATAAAGGTTGTAAATATATCAAAGGTTCATTTCAAGAGTTCACACTTTGATAATGTCTGATAATAATAGCAGGTTTGGCATGCTGTCCCGGAAATGAACCCTGAGCTTGGAGATAATTGAGCCCAGGGCTCTCGTCTGGTCAATAAGCTTGTAAGGGAGTACGAGATCAGCTAGTTCTCGAGAGCTCCCCTTGCTAAACGAAAAAAGGGGGAAATAGGGTGGATAGGAGGATTCTTCAAAAAAATTAAGATGAGGGAGTGATGTTAGTTGGGCTTTTTATAGTGAGTTTGAAATGAACTGATTGGCTTACTAATGATTACAGACAAGAGACCAGCCGCGACTTTTTATCACAATTATATCGCTTGTTTCTTTCGAAATTAGTTTGTGAAACTTCTCTTAAACCTTCGATCAGTAATATGCATTGCTAAGAGCAAGGGTTAACCGTCTCTTGATTTTAGGTGTCGTGTCCCCTTTTCGTTCATTCTTGGAACCAAGGAATATAAAGCCCTGTACTGTCTTGATTTTTTCATTGTGGATCTTTATGCTGCATCTTCCATTCTTAAAGGCCACTTTCGTTTTTTTAATGTTCAGGCATAACCCCACCTTCTTACAATTTTTTTTTGCAATTTCAGGATGAGTCTCTCCAGATATTCTCTGCTTTCGGCCATTGTCTTTGGGATATCTAAAATCGTTGATGTTCCTGCCGTCAATTTTCTCTCCATTTACATTGTAAATATACACCTACTTGCTGATGAAAATATATCAAAGGTTGTAAATATATCAAAGGTTAAAGCTTTGATCAGTAATATGCATTGCTAAGAGCTTAATTTGGAAGACTTTAAGGGTGATTTTTACAAGTTAATTTCAAATAGATGTGTCTCGGTCAAAATACTATTTAAAACAATGTTACTTATGCAAAGTGCTGTGCAGATAATCTTTACTCCTCTGACCTCAAAAGGGTGCTCAAGTGACAGGTGCTAGAGACCATGGTCTTTACCCTCCTTGTTAGAGCAACAGACTCCCATACAAAGAATCACCAGTTCGATCCCAGCTCAGATGGGTGCTCAGATGGGTTAGGTGCAGTAGGACTGGTGGGTTAAAATTATTCATAATCAACAACAAGTCAATAGTTTACTATTTGACCATTAAACTCCAAAACTGGCTGTGGCTTTGCACTTTTTACCCTTAAACCTTTGCACAATAAACTAGGTTGGTTTCTCCTCTTGAGTCAGCCATTGCATTTTGTAACTTTGTTATTTTCGTTACTTAATGCAATGGACTGTTACAGTCTGTACTTCCTCTGGAGAAAGTACAGTGGCCTATAATTGTACATTGAACCACTTGTACAGTCCACCAGTCATTGCTTTAAAAGCTTTGTTTTGTTATAACTGCAGACTGTGCATTTTCTTTATCATTGTACTCTCGCCTACCAATTGAACAGGAAATAATTGAACAAAAAAGTGACTCTAGAGTATAAAAGATATAAAAGCAGCATAGTGTTCCGCTTAAGTCTGACGCCCATCCGTTTCTAATTCTAAATGAACAGATGCCAAAACAAACATCAAATAGTGCTAACAATATATTTAAATACAACAGAGTAGTAGTAATTGGTCATTATCATTATGATAAATAGTTGCCAATGTAATCTGGATTACTGATTGTAGATCATGTGATTACTTTTGGATTACTTTTGACCCAAACCTGCGTATGACATGGATTTTACTGTAAAAATTCTTAATAATAAAAAAAACATAAAAGTAATAATAAAAATTTTATGTTGTTACATGCTGAAATTTGTCATGTAATTTTTATTGAATTGTTACTTAAAAATAGTAAATATATTGATAGAGTCAAGTTGTCATATACACTGCAAAAAATACTGGGTTCCCCATAATTTATTCATGTTGTTCCAACTCAAATCGATTAGGTGTGCAATCATTTTTACAAATTTAAAAATATTGAACATAAAACAATTAAGTTGTCCCTAAAAACCCACAATAATTGTGTTGTTTCAACTGATTTTAAATAATTAGCTTGAACAACCTGCAAAAGTCATTTGTGAGAGTATATAAAATTTTATGAAAATGTTTTGTGGTTTCATCTGGTTTTACTTTTGTCCTTAATGTTTTATTTTACTGCTCTTATGAAACATAACCTTGGTTTAATTGTTATTATATTTTAATAAGGGCGAATTGATTTTCTTACTGTTTTACCACCAGCGTTGGTTAATATAGCAAAACAATGATTATATTTGCTTACAATGGCTTAATTAAGATTACAGTGTTTTTTATTTGTAGTAAAACTCTGGCTAATGTTTGTAAGGGTGCAACTTCTCAGTTAGCTTAGCAATCTTAATGTAATGTAATATGCTTTAATGATACTCTTGTTTCATGTGAATGCCCTTGTTATTGTCTACAGTCAATGGTGACACTGAGTTTATCCTACATGGTGGGAACTGTAGCCTCATATCACAACACAACTGCTGTGATCATCGCTTTAGGGTCAACTCTGGTCATCTCTTTCACCATCATCATCTTCTCTGCCCAGGTTTGTTTAATATCCCACGTATCACAAATCTAACAAACAAACTAAAAAAGTAAAATCAATTATAATCAATTAATCACTATAAAAGTTAAATCAAAATGTACAATGCTTATTTTGCTGGCACACATTGTTATTCTTAAGATGAACTAGTAATCCAATTAAGTCAATCCACGGAAAGAAATCTGTTTCGGTAATCTTCAATCAAATTCTGACCATTTGCTTCTGCATTTGGAGGGATGCAAGTCCTTTTGCTGACGACAGTTTTTAACCACGCCCCTCTTACCATACAAGGAAATGATTTGCAAAAATAAAGCCCCGCCCACTACTTAATATTCCAATTTAATTGAAAGAACATCAGCATTTTGAAAAAGCCTCAGCAACTTTCAGTTCACACCGATTTTTAGGAATAAATCTCTTCTAAAACACATTAAAGAAGTTTTCATAGCTTGTATAATACGCTTGCTCATCTTTTAGGTAATTTTATTCTGATTTGTTGTGATTTTTTTTCAGACTCGTTTGGACTTCACTATTTGTAATGGCGTTCTGCTCATACTGTCCATCGACTTGCTCATGTTTGGATTCTTCAGCATCTTTTTCTACTCCTCTGTTCTGCAGATTGTCTACGGATGTCTGGGAGCACTTCTTTACGCTTTGGTAAAATATTATAAATGTTTACAAAAATAATGATCACAATCCTAAACTAAGCACAAAATTTAGCAGGATAGTTCACTCATTAAGAAACATTTGCAGGTAATTTACTCACCCCCAGGGCATCTAACATGTCTGTTAAGTTTCTCCTTCAACAGAATGTTAAAGAAGTTTTTTTTTTAAAGAAAGAAAAAAGATTTGATTTATGTTATTGAAGTCTACCGGTACTTTTCACACTATGTGTAACTCTAACTCCAAATAATGAGACGTTTTAAACCTGCAATTTGGAAGTGATTTAACACCTAATTTTCCCCAGGGTTATGAAACTCTGCTCCAGAGCAGGCTTAGCACTGCATTTGTTGTGTTGACCCAGATTTTCAATGTGAAATGGAAAAGTGTTTACTTGTTGCTGCTGGACGCTTGACAACAAAGACACCCAATAAGAAATTTAGCAGCGAGGTTTACATCACTTTAAGAAACATTTATGGTGTAAACAACAATGAGATGTAAAATGATGTAAAAACTTCAAAATGAAGAAATTAAAAGATGATTCAGACGTCAAAAGTAGACAATCAGTGATGAATAAGAATGCTTACCCAGGTTTTAGTGTATGTACAGTGTAAAACGGGTGCTCAACCCTGCTCCTGGAGATCTTCCTTCCAGCTGAGTTCAGCTTCAACCCTGATCACACCTGAACCAATTATTTAGGACCTGAACAGTACTGGATAATTACACGCATGTGTGTTTGATAAGGGTTGCAACTGAAATCTGCAGGACGGTAGATCTCCATGAAACCTACCTGGTCACCCCTGGTGTAAAACATCTGCTAATGAATAAACCAAATCAAGCGCATACTTAACCTATAAGCGAGGTAAGCAGCCGCTTAGGGCTCCGGTGATTTAGGGGCCCCCGACCAATGCCAAGATACCTATATTAATCATAACTTTTAAAATACATTTTTATCATATGTCGTTGTCAAATCTGTCAATAACTGTTAAGATTTACATGTTAATACTTCTTTTCTAAACCGAGGGCCCCCATTGAATAGTGGACTGTTCCATCCATACTGCACATGTGCGAGCGCTTTAATCAAAAATGAAAATCTAATCACAAAAATGGCTATTTAACTAAAAACATCAGGGTGTACAAACTCGGTACTGGAGGGCCGGTGTCCTGCAAGTTTAGTTCCAACCCCAATCAGACACACCTGAACTAGCTCATCAAGCTCTTACTAGGCTTTCTAGAAACACCTGTGCAGGTGTGTAGAGGCAAGTTGGAACTAAAATCTGCAGGACACCGGCCCTCCAGGACCGAGCTTAGACACTTCTGCTTTGTAAATTAGTTTTATTTATTTGTGACTATATTGCTTTTAATTTTACATTAGGAAGATAATGGCTCCTTTAAATATTAAAATAAAAAAAATGTACTTGTATATTTTGGGTTTAAGGAGAGTTATTACAACCGAACAGACACTTCCTCCTAGCCATTTCTGTTTGTTGTCATAACTGGCGATTGGAGGGGCATAGTGAAGTATGTTATCCATGCTTAAGACTACCCAGACAATCATATTCAAACTTCATTAGAACTGAATATATTGTCAAGACCCATCTGTATTAATTTACCTATCTGTATCTAATTCACTTTGTGTCTTTCTGACTCTCAAAGCAGTTGTAGCCACTGACTTGCATTTTATGAATCACAAAAGCCTATGATTACATCTAAAAATCTTTAAAATTCTACAACAAAATAATTCTCCTACTTCCTGGATTGTTTGTAGATTTTCAATTTGGCTGATCGAGCCCTAAATTCTTATCAGTGTTTATTTTGCTTATCAGTGGTTTTCTTTCTTTCTCCTGCAGTTTCTAGCAGTGGACTGTCAGCTGGTGATGGGCAGGCAAAAATACAGCCTCGATCCCGAAGAATACATTTTCGCCGCTCTAATTATCTATCTGGACATCATTATGATATTCCTCTACATACTTATGATCCTGGGCGGAGGCTCCAAAAATTAAACCCACACATACCCACACCCACACACAAGTCGAGATGCTCTCCAAATCTACAGGTGAGGTGACCAGCTGCATTAAACCGTCTGACCTCAGGTTTCATCATTTCATTCATCTGCACTGCTCCCTCTACCGGCTCAATGTCTCTGCTGCTTTGTGTTTGTATTGGTAAACATGCACTTACATTATCCATATATAATCACGTCGTCTACTCTTTTCTAGTTTAGTCTCAATAATGTTTTGTAAGTCAGTTAAATGCCTTAATATTTACGGTATTTTGCATCCATTAAATTAAAAACACCCCATAATGTGAATCATGAAAAGCTTTAATATGTGACTATGCTCTTTTTTTGAATGCTTTAATGATATTAATAAAGCTTTTATATATTTTTTTGTGTATCATGCATATTTATGACCAAATCTAGTGTATTTGAATATATTATTTTAATATATAATATATATTAAACTTTTTCCAGTACTGGGTTGCAGCTGGAAGGACATCCGCTGTGTAAAACATACAGTATGCTAGATAAGTTGGCAGTTCATTCCACTGTGGTGACCCCTGGTTAATAAAGACACTAAGCCAAAGGAAAATAAATGAATGAATCATATATTAAATCATATAAATACATTGTAATACATAAGTTTGATTACTATTTGTAATAATAATAATAATAAGCTATACCACTTATGATGTGATACTATACAAATATGAATACACTATATGAATAAATCGTAAATATCCACCCTCTACCTGTTACAAACATGTTTTAAATTATTATTTTTTTGTTTTTGTTCATTTTGATAGAATGATATTTTGAAGAATGTTAGAAACCATCGACATCCGTAGTATTTTTTCCTACTATGGGTGCCAATGGACTCATGGATTTCAGTATGTATTTGTGTGTTCAATAGAAAACAAAACCACTTAAGGGTGAGCACATTTCCATGTAAACTACACCTTTTAATGTGAAAATTCAGACTCTGCCTCACCACAGTGTGAAGTAGACTAAAGAAGTATGTGGGCTTGGTAATAAAATTCAGTGTGACAGAGGGTGTAGCCACCTTCATGTCATTCAAAATCTGAGTGCTTTCATTTTTTTCCACTGAGCACAAAAGAAACACTCTAAAGAATCTCCTCGCAGCTGTCTTCCGAACAATGACAGTTTACAGTTCATCACGGCCATGTGTGTCAAGTTCCCAATAGCACAATAAAGGGGGTGACAAGAAGCCTATCAGCGTTTAACTGCTTAAATTTCACTATGTTCTACACACAAAGGTATCATCAGAAGACTTGGAATTTAGCGAGAAATTTAGATGTACTCCCTGCTGACAGATGCTGTAACTAACTATTCTGGTAACAAACAAGCCTATTTACACTCACTTGTCACATGGTGTGTCACATGTAGACACACATATTAAAGTGAGCACCAGAATAGTGAACAAGTGTGATTTAAGTGACTTTAAAGAGCATGATTATTGAGCCAGATGAGCTAGTCTGTGTTTTTTTTTTTAGATTTTCATGTACATCATCTCTAGGGTTTACAGAGATAACTGGTCCAATGAAGAATAAATATCCAGTGAGTCACATGGGTCAATAAAGCCTTGTTGATGCCAGAGAAGAATTTTTAAACGGTTTCCAACTGATACAAAGACAACAGTAACTCAAATGAGCACTGCTTACAGCAGAGGATTGCAGAAGAGCAACTCTGCATCATGACAAGTTAAAGCTTGAAGCAGATGAGCTACAGCAGCAGAAGAAGAAAACACCAAAGACGATCCTGTCAGCTGATAACAACAAACTGAGGCTACATTTCACACAGGTCACTAAAATTTTACAATGGAGAATTGGAGAAAACATTGCGTGGTGTTTTGATTTCTACTGCAAATATTTGGATAGTAGCATCAAGATTTGGAAAAAGCAAAAGTTCAGGCTGCTGCTGGTGGTGTAATGGCATGGTGTTTATTTTCATGATGCACTTGGGACCCCTTTTAACCATCTGAACCATGATGAAATGCCGCAACCAAATTGAATATTTTAGCAGAGTTGGAAGCTTCAAATAGATTTAAAACATTAAGAGTTATTGCCATATGTGAGATAAGTTGATTGAAGTCCAAACACTGACCATGAGCACTTTATATTCATTCTTTAACTTTAATTCTTTTCATGTTCACCAAAATGATTATCCCTAAAAGTAGTGTGTATATTTTTTAAAGTTGCTGTTCAACCAGTTTTTCAAGCCCAACCTGGATTTATGTGCAGTTAAACACTCCTGCCTCAACCAATTCCCTGAGTGAAAAATTGAATTTGCATGGCCAATAATGAACAGAAAAACAAGGCACTGTTGTGCTTTCAATATTATTACAATTGTTTGAGCTTGAATATCACTTTTCGTGAATTTAACAGTCATTATAAGAGCAAATGGATAATTTATCTCAGATTTCTAAATGAAAAGAAACAAAAAGCAGCCAGTCTTTGAAGTGGTCAATTTGTAACCAAAGCTCTTGTACATTTTCCTAGCATGTTTGCCTTAGTTAACATGTACAGCCTGGTGATTACCTGTGACTTCAGTTACTGCCAGTTGATGAGTGAGAAAAGGAATAAAATGGTGCTAAAAATAGCCTAACCATAGCAATAAAAGAACATCATATGGTATAGAAAACTAACATCTTGATACATAGAAACTAAAAAGCGACAAAGTCCTTGATATTCCATGCCTTGGACCAGTTAATATATGAACTTGAAGTCAGATTTATTAGTTCCGCTTTGAATTTTTTTTTCTTTTCTTAAATATTTCCCAAACGATGTTTAACAGAGCAAGGAAATTTTCACAGTAAGTTTGATAACATTTTTTCTGGAGAAAGTCTTATTTGTTTTATTTCAGCTAGAATAAAATCAGTTTTACATTTTTTAAAAACATTAAAGTCAAAATTATTAGCCCTTTTAAGCTATATTTTTTCCAATAGTATACAAATAGAACAAACCATCATTATACAATAACTTGCCTAATTACCCTAATCTGCCTAGTTACGCTAATTAACCTAGTTAAGCCTTTGAATGTCAGTTTAAGTGTCTTTATGTGCTGTCATCATGGCAAAGATAAAATAAATCAATTATAAATGAGATATTATGAATATTATGAACATTTATGAACATATAAAATATTATGTATACAAATGTGTTGAAAATCTCTGCGTTAAACAGAAATTGGGGGGAAAAACAGGGGGGCTAATAATTCCGACTTCAACTGTATGTAAAAATCCCTGACTCTCAATGTTTGGAAAAACACTTTTGAAATTCAATATTGCAGAAATTCCATGATCTGTGGAAATCCTGGTCCACTCTTTATGATTGCATTTAAAAATGATGAAAATGATAATCTGTGGAGCTCTTTTTGAGCCTTTTCCAATTATTAAAAATGAGGAAAAAGAAATGGTAATATATATAAACCAAGACCACCCAGCATAAAAAAGAAAGCCAGACCCCTTCTTTTCCTTCTTGTTTCTGTTGTACATCTGCTGTGTTATTGCGTTGCATTTAAAGAAAACCCTGTCTGTGTATTCTGTTGTTGCCCATATCAGTGTTCATGTCATCCGTCCGCCATTCATATCATACCATTTCACTTCTTAATTTAATTCATTTACAAGGCTCAGGCGAAGCAGACCGGTAAGAAGATCATGTGACACACATTTTGCAACATGTAGGACTACTCTTGTTTTAAATACATTAGGTTAGGGGCGCCACCCCTTGTACTTTTGGATAGATTAAGTAAGATAGTTAGGATACTCAGTAGGCTTCTTTGTGTGTTAATTTATTTTGTTTTCATTTTATTTAGTTAGTTCGATGTTTATGGAGAGTTAGACATTGTGTGAGTTTTGTTCTTTTCTTTATTACCGCCCATGTCCTTTTCTGCCAGCTCTCTTGTTTTTCTCCGTCTTTGTGTTTTTCCCATTGTTGTACATATTTGAAAAAGTATATATTTTTTATTAGCTTTTTTTTTTTTTTTTGATTGATTCATTGTTTTTGTTCCCTCTGTGAATTGTAAATAAAAGTCAGTTTTTGGTATATCGGGTTTTGGTTGACTTTTGCACTTCATTCACTGTGTATATAAATGTCTTTTTAATTGTACTTTAAATGTCAAACCCCATTCACCTAAACCAGGGGTGGCCAACTCTGTTCCTGGAGAGCCACCTTCCTGCAGATTTCAGTTTCAACCCATATCAAACACACCTGCCTGTAATTGTTGCATGGTGTTCAGGTCCTAATTAATAGTTTCAGGTGTGTTTGATATGGGTAGCAACTGAAATCTGCAGGAAGGTGGCTCTCCAGGAACAGGGTTGGCCACCCCTGACCTAAACTAACATCAGGGGTTTGTAACAATTATATAATAACCATTTACACAGACAAAGGGTGGTCCAATACTTCTGTATAAAACCTGTTAAAACACACCAAAGGTGGATTTAATCGGCATGTGCATTTCATAAATAACACTTAATAAAGCGTTCTAGTAAATAATGAATTAAGAATCATCTTTCTCTTCTTATGTTTACGCTATTTTGTATTAATTTTGATTTATTGTTACTTATTCATAATATTAAATACTTAAAATCACAGTATATCGGTAGAAATATCATTTTATTTTGATTAATTCATTCATCACTTAGAAAATGTCCCATATTAGTCATATTCAGGTTCCTTTGAAAGTTAAAACAGACATTAATGTTACAATATGCACATTTTTCCTGGAGGGAAACACTACATAGCTACATGTTTTTTCCTTCACCTCAAACTGTTCAGACTGTCTGTGTGCAAAATGTGAAGCTCACCAAAGTGATGAGAAGTTAAACTGAACTCTAAGGAGGTACTTCATCTGAATCTGAGCAGGGTTATAAACAATGTACTCATTATAAAGAAGAGAGTATCCTCCTTTCTGGCCAACACCGGTCTTCACAGAGGGTCCCAAGGGCACAGTCACACCATTCCTGAAAGACAGCAGGAGAAAACGTCAGTACAGCACTAAGGATGCAATTGTGTAAAATCTCAAGTTAAAAACCGAAAAGAGACTCACAATGAAACTGATTTTTTGGGGTCTGGTGCAGTTTGACCCAGACCTTTTGTGCTATGCTTCCCAGAAGGCAGTTGGTCGGCATTGTAATCTGCGTCCAAAAGTTCATTACTATCTCCAAGGGCAACCTGTGGTAAGAAAAGTAGACAAAATGACACTTCAGCAGTCACGTTATTTTAAAATGGCAGTTAGAGATGGGGTGTTATTCACACTTTTAGCTATTTTAGTTTGTTTGCTCTTGGTTCACTTAAAAGTGAACCTAAAGATATTAAACAAATCTTTTCTGATGTATATTTTGCAAACAGAACAGCCGTCCCAAACAAC